ACCACCTCACCACCACCACCACCACCACCACCACCACCACCACCACCACCACCACCACCACCCACAACAACCCACCAAACTACCACAGCCCACCAACACCACCACCACCATCTCAGAGAGGCCCCAAGAGACATCCAAGAGGCGCCCAGGAGGCTTCACAAATGCCCTTCAGAGGCCCCCGAGAGCCCTCCGACGAGACCCCAAGAGGCATCCATGAGGTCTCTGACCCAAAACCAAGGCACGGTGGCGGAGCGTCGTCGTCGTCGTCGTCGTCATCGTTGTCGCCGTCGTCCACGTCGACGCTCCCCGCCGCAAGCGCCGGCGCCGGCCAAGAAAAGGAAGTCGTCGTCTTCGTCGACGCTCCCCGCGGCCGCCGCCAGCCGCCGACGCCGCCAGCGCTGGCCCGAGGAGAGGGAGAGAGGGGAAGCAGGGGAGGGGGGGGAAGTTGAAACCTCCCCCCCTCCGTCACAGGGGAGGGGGGCGGTTCCCCCCTCAATCCAAGAAGGGCGGGGGGGGTCCGCTTCAAAACACCCCCCCCCCCTCCAAGCGCCCACAGAACGCGCTGTTTTCCTCATTGTGATCTCCCCTCCCTCCTCGAAAATTTGAGGCCCTGGCCTCTCCGGGGGGGGGGCATTCCGACCGGAGTTTCGAGTGGAATCGAGCTGTGGCGACGACAAGCCTCCTGGATGCCCCCCAAAGCGAAGAACCTCAACATACCACGATCTTCGACGCACCTGCCCTTGCCTCCTCCCCAGTCCACTCTCCTCCTGGATTCCCTTCGGACAGAACAGGTGTTTCGGGTCGGGCAAAAGGGGTTTGAAAATCAGCTCACGTAGCTGATTTTCCCGGCGCCTCCCGGCGCCGGAGGCGGCCATGTATCGAGGAATGGGCGCCTCGGTGAGGCCGAAACCAGCTGCATGCAGCAAATTTCGTAACCCCCCCTTTCCCAATCCCCCCCTTTCGCCCGGCCCGAGTGTTGGAGAGAGTGGGCACAAGCCGAATCCCTCCATCCGTGCGATAACCAAACTGTCTGTTTCCCCCAACACGGGCCGTCGGAGGCCTGTCTCGGGCCCCAGGCTCCAGGACCTTCGAGCGCAGGCCTCTGGGATGGTGTCGAGAGGTTCGGGGGGACACGTCGAGCTAAATACATGACGCCTGATGCCTGGGGATGTTCGGAGGTTCATATGTGTCATGTTCTGATGCTTCTCGAGGTGCCCAAATATTTCTGAGGCTTCCAGAACAGGGCATACAATAGCTTGCCGCTGGCAGCGCAGCTGCCATCCAAAACAAGATCGAGCGACGATTCTTCTCGAACCCTCCTGCCGTAACTCGAGAACTCCAGAAGGAACTGATGCGCGGTTCGGGGATCGCGCATGCTGAAGGCTCGTGTGGCAACGCGCCAGAAACATGCGGCAGGTACGTGTCGTGACGAACCGCGTGCCTTTCTGACACCGCTGGGATTGTTCAACCATTGTTTGATTTGTTTACCCCGCGCGTGGATCGTTCAATCATGAGCGACCGCGCCTCTCCAATAGCGCGGATCGATCGACATCGGCCGAGCCTGGGCCACCGCCGGCGTTCCACCCTGAACGCCAAGCGGCGGGGTCACCGCCGCGTCGCGAACCCGCCGTGCACAAACTGTACAACCCTAGAAGCTAAACAATCCGCGGTCAGAATTGGATCAGATCGTTGAACAACCTCGAGATGCACTCTTATGCGCTCTCCATCTGCGCACGGCGCACTGCTGCATTATTCGGCCGCGTAGATGACGCAGGCAGGAACGCATCTGCCTTGCCGCGGGGTGGTGTCGCGCCTGCGCCGACTGCTCTCTCTTCCTCATCGCCCCTCTTCCTGCTGCTATTCTTCCCCCTCCTCCCACCCCCTGACCTCCTCGCGTCGTATTAGAAAGCACGACGGTTTTCTGCCTCTGCGCCATGTGCCCTCGTTTCCCAAAAACATCCAGCGGCTACACGGATGGAGAGCGGGCCGGTGTCAAAACGGGGCTCTTGCCTTGTCTCCGCGCGCACTCGTCTTGAACAAGTCCAATAGATACGCGGATGGATGGCGGTTCTTTCACAAAACGTGTCTCTCACCTGAGAGCTCTTTGGCTGTTTCTCTAATCAGCGCTTGCACTGAAGGGGTCCCAGCGGATACTGACAGACTGGGAGAAACTGGCGGGCCGATCCCGGTAAGCGGCCAGGTTCCCAGGTTCTCGGTTCCGGGCAGATTTCGGCGGGCGGCAAGGTTCCCGATCTCCCAGGCCTTCGGTCGGGCCTGTCCCCCTACAGAGGGGGATTTTGGACGAAAAATGCAAAAAATCAAAAAATCCCCCCCCATGTGGCAAAAATAATTAAAAAAATCGTCCCCTGACTATTTTTGGACTGGTTTTGAATATTCCTCCTGTAGAGGGACAGGCCCGACTTAACCCAGGTCCCCGATTCCTGGCCCGGCGTCCCAGCTCCCGTGCTCGTCCTGGCGACCACGGTCAGGACGAGGGAGTCGACCGTGGGACATACAGCATCCGCCATCGTGCCGTGAGGCGCGAAGTGGAGTTTTCTCCAGGCTCCCAGGCGTCCTCTGTTCTCTGCGCTCGGACTCGAGGATCATACCAGTTATGCTAAAAACGCTGATGGCCCAAATTCTCAATTTGTTGTGGCGTTCCCGCGCGTCCTTGGGCTGCCTCGCATGACTTGTCCAGAAAAGCCAGAGGGCCCCAAGACGGGCCAAGAGGGCCCCAGAAAGCGCCCAAGAGGGTCCAAGAGGCCTCCAATACAGCCCAAGAGCGCTCCAAGACGCCAGAGATGGCTCCAAGACGGCCCAAGAGGCCCCAAAGAAGCCTCAAGAGCGCTCCAAGAGAACCCCCAAGAGGGCCCAAAGAGACGACACTCATTGATGTACCTGGTGTTTTTTTTCTATGCTTTTCGCGTTCTCGCGCTTTCAGGCTTCCGACGCTCCAAGATGGCCCCCTTTCAAAATGGGATCTCGCCTTAGCGCCGCGCACATTCATGTAAACAGTTCCTCCAATTTGAAGGTTTCGTGCGGTTGAAGTGCCAAGAATGGTTCTATGGCACGATTTAAGACTATCAGGACGCAACAGGCAGGCCGATTCGTCATACTGAGGTACCAAGAACGATGTTTTGGCACGATTGGGGAATCTCTGACAGTTGTCTTCCACTGGGGCACTTCCCGCAATGAACATCGATTCCTGCAGGGACCTATGAGAAAAGGGAATCCCACCAGCCCTTTGGGCGTGAGTGGTTTCGAGAGCCCGCTCTGTTCTCAACCCCCTTTCTTCCCCTTCGGGGAGGGGTTTACCCCTCCCCCTACCCCCTCCCCCTGGGCCTGGAGAGGGCGCCCCGCGGGTCGTTGGAGGGGTCTTTTTCGATTCCTGGGAGTGCTAAAATTCGACACCCCTCACGAGGATTCTGGCCCCGGCGGGGGGAGGCAGAAAAGTGCTCGCCCCATCTGTGATCGATCGCCCGACAGATGGCCCCAAGATTCCTCCAAGACCCCTCCCAGAGAGTCCCAAGAGGCCCCAAGAGGCCTCCAAGAGGCCCCCAAGATGCCCCCAAGAGGCGCCCAAGAGGCCCCAGGAGGCTCCCCGGGCACCCAAGACTCCTCTGGAAGACCCCTGAGCCGCGACGTGCCCCCAAACGCCCCCAAACGGCCTCAAGAGGCTCCCAAGAGGCCACGGAAGTGCTCCCTCAAGGCACCAAGACGCTCCTAAAAGCCCTGGGGCGCCATGAGGCCCCGTAGACGCCACCAAAGGCCTCCAAGAGGACTCCAAAACGTATCACACACGTCGAGGCCCCCCGAACGACTCACACCACGAGGAGCCCGAACGAGTCACACCAGGAGAGGGGCCCGAACGACTCACACGAGGACGAGGGGACCGAAAAACTCACACCACGATAGAAGCCCGAACGAGATCACAAGGAGAAGAGCCCGAAAGAATCAATCACGGAAGAGCCCGAACGATTCTCACCAGGAAGAAGGGCCCCGACACGACTCACACGGGACGAGAAACCCCATAACGACTCAAACCACGAGGAGCGATTCTCATCCCTACTCCTCCGCATCGTCCTTTCTCCCGCTCCCCCCACATGGAGGATGTACAAGGAGGCGGGAGGAAGGAGGAACAGGGGAGACATGCGGGGCCAAGCGGACACAAGCCTGAAAAACACGACTGTCGGCATGCTTCGCAAGAGTTGCTGTTGTGAGATGGGCTGGTGGGGATACGCGAAGCGTAAAGAATTTGGAGGGATGGTTTATTGCAAGATCGTTCATGCGCGTTGGGTTTACACTGAGTGAGGAGTGGGAACACTGGGGCTTCCCAGCGTGTGCGCTGCCGTCCTGATGACAGGGCCCGCCGCGGCGCCGCGAGTCGCCTTGGGCCAATCGGTCGCCTTGCGACCTCTGACTGCCAACTCGTTGGGCGCCTCCTCCGTTTTCCGTGCTGTATCTCCGTTCTACTCTTACTCCTACACTTCCCGACAACTCCTGTCCTCCTCCACACTCTTTCTGCCACCCACTCCATGATCCCTTCTCCCCAATATCCCTCCTCCCTATCATCATTGCCATCCGTCTCATGCGTCTCCTTCCCGCCTTCCACAACTTTCTTCGTAGCAGTAACTATTCCCCCTCCTCTCTCTCCACCTCCTCCTCTCCTCCTCCACCTCCTCCTCCTCCTCCTCCTCGATGGTTTGCACCTACTCCTCATCCTCTTCCTCCTCCTCCTCCTCCTCCTCCTTCTCCTCCTCCTCCTCCTCCTCCCGCTCCTACTCGTCCCTACCCTTCACCCTGCTCCTCCCCCCGTCTCTCCTCCTCCTCATCTCCCCCCTCTCCTTCCTCGTTGCTCCAACCCGCTGCCCCCTTCTGGGCCACCCACCGAAAGGGTGAGGCCGCCCAGCCGAACAAAAACAGCGGAGCAGGCGATCCTGAAGTGCGCCCACTTGAAGCCCACGTAGAAGACGCTGGCCACCGCCAAGTAGCGCCCAACGAACCTCCCAGTCTGCCCGCACGCCTCCCCGCGTCGAGACGACGACGACGACGACGACGACGACGACGACGACGACGACGACGACGACCACGACGACGACCACGACGACGACGACGACGATCACGACCACAACCACAACCACGACGACGACGACGACGACGAAGACAATGTTCACCCTTCGAGGACCCTCACCTGGGCCCTGGCCGTCAAAAACATCAGCTCTGCACGAGAGGCCGATCTCCACGGGAAGGGCTCTGGAGAGCTCAGCGAGGGGCAGCTGCAGGAAAGCACGCTGAGGCCGGAAGACCTCCAGGAACCGACGAAGACGCCCAAGACCGCGGAGGAGCCCGGCCCCCCCCCCCCCCGGCACGTGTCAAGGCCCTCGAGGACGTTCTTCAGCACCTCGGCAAAGATGCCGTAGCCTGGGGCGTGGGGCCGCGTCGCGCGGGCGCGCCGACGGGGCCGGGTGGCCAGCGGGGCCTGCCACCCTGACGGGGCAGGAAATGGATGAAGGAGAACGAAATGGGGGGAAGGGGCTCATGGTGCGCAGCCAGAATATGATTACACCAGAGAGAAATCCCAATCAGTGGTTGGTATGACATGCGATCGATGAAGAGATCGATAAAAAAATCGACCGGGAACCCAGGAACCCGGAACCCACCGAAATCAGACCGGAACTAATGATACCAGGAACCCAGGAAAACCCGGAATACCGGGAACCCGGGAACCCAGCCGGCCACAAAACTCGGCGGGAAACTTTCGTCAAATCTTTCAATTCCCGCTAGAACCTCTTCGGTGCAAACACTGATTGGGGAACCATATCCTTAGGTCGGGCAAGTCCCCCTACAGGCGGGTATTGGACGAAAAATCCAGAATACCCCGAAAATACTCACAACAAATCAGAAAAATTGAAAAAATCGTCCCCAGCCTATTTTTTTACTACTTTTTTGGGAAAATACCATCTGTAGAGGGACAGGCCCGACTTAACCAAATCCACTGCTGCTGGGTCGTGTTCCGAGGACGTAAGGGGGCGGCGGATATGGACTCCCGCCCGCCCGCATGGGAGGGCAGGCATCAAGATCCACCGCTCCCCGAAATCCCAGGGCACGACTCCGAAGCGGTGGATGTGGACACATTCTGGCGGTGGACGTGGGAGGAGGAAAAGAAGGAGGAGGAGGAAGTGGAGGAGGAGGAGGAGGAGAAGGAAGTGGAGGAGGAGGAGGAGGGGGCGGAGGAGGCGTACGAGGAGGCGGAGTTGGAGGAGACGTAGGAGAAAAAACAGGAGGAGGAGGTAGCGTAGGAGGAGGAGGAGGAGGAGGAGGGAGGAGGGAGGGAGGTGAAGGAAGGTGGAGGAGGAGGCAGAAGGAGGATGAGGAGAAGGAGGAGCGAGGGGAGAGGGAGGAGGTGTCGGAGAGGCAGGTGGACGAGGAGAAGAGGAGGAGGAGGAAGAGGAGGAGGGAGGAGGAGGAGGGGAAGAGCAGGAGGTGGATGGAGAAGAGGAGGAGAGGATAGGGAGGGGATAAGGTGGAGGAGGTGGAGCTGGAGAGGAGGAGGAGAGGAGGAGGATAATATGATGATGGTGAGGAGAAGGAGGGGGAGGAGCAGGAGGAGGAGCAGGAGGGGAGGAGGAGGAGGAGGAGAAGGAGGAGGAGAAGGGAGAGGAGGAGGGGAGGACGAGGAGGAGCAGTAGGAAGAGGAGGAGGATGAGGAGGAGGAGGACGAGGCGGAAGAGGCGGAGGAGGAGGAGGAGCACGAGGAGGAGGAGATGATGATGATGATGATGATGATGTTTTATTTTCCCCTCGCGGACCGACGGCAATGAGAGATGACAACCGATGCAGTAAGTCCAGTCCAGATCCATCTCTCACGATGGGAGCAAAAACAATAACTAAAAACTTCCTGCAGCACAACTGCTAACATCCCACTGAGTGCATACCCTGAAAGAGGGGGAGGGCCGATCAGACGCTAAGCCCGAGGCCATGCGACGACCGAGGAAAACAGACCCTGCCCTCACCAAAACCTCCCTCCAGAGAGCAGGCGGAGCCTTGCGGTACTTCATCGGTAACCTGGCGGCAGCAAAATTAAAAAGGAATAGTCGGCGGCCAAGACAGCTGAAGCAAGGCTTGTCACTTGCAACAGCCAATGGACGCCGCAAGAAGCACTGTTTGGGGAAACGCGGGCCGCGCAAAGGACCCCAAGAGGAGCAGAGAGAGCGGCTTTCGGGGAACCCCGACACGGGCATCAGCAGAGAGCGAGGCCAAGCCCGCTGCCCCCAGCGGGGCACGAGGAGAACAGAGCAGCAAGACGACAGAATGGTACATGTACAGCGCACGACTCCGCAGGTCCCAGAAGGGACAGTGAGCCACAAGCCCCAGGGGGGCAAAGGTATATAAGACCCCTACTAGGAAGAGGCAGACCAGGCACGAGCAACCTGGGGGTGTCGCCGAGTGTGCAAGCGGATGCGGCCTTTGAGAAGATCCATCGGCGACGGCCTGGACCCCACACGGAAGCTAGCCTGGACAAGGAGGAATCCATCCAAGAGGCTCGCACATATTAATCGCTGCTCGAAAAACGGGAGAGGGGCAATAAAGGTTAAACATCGGAACCAGGACTCTTCGCTAAAAAAAAGATGGTGGCAAGGGGCGAGAGCTAAACTCAGCCGTCGAAATTCAGGACATACCGCATAGTGCTCCATAGAGTCGCCGGCCCCAGGGGCGCCACAGTTCCAGCAGCATCCGATAGGCCCATGATGAAATCTAGCACTGGCACAGACACCCCTCGCCAGGACACGTGAGACCGCGAGCCCCAGATAGAGAGAACTTGCCTTGCAAACCTTGCGGACAACCTGAACGGCGGCAGAGACCTGGGCGACTGAGACCCCAGGGGCCCATCGGACCACCCGGGCGCGAAGGCAGCGGATAGGAGAGATCGGAGGAGCACGGACACGAAGGATTCGCGTGAGCTTCTTTTGAAACCCCGAGGCCTGAAGAAAGCCAGCGCACAGGTGGATGTGCCCACTCCACATGCCAATAAGAGACCGACAGAACGTGCGCTGCCACCAAGGATGCCGCATCCGAGCAGGGTGGAAATCGTCCTCCTGGGAAAGACCAAGAATCTGACCACGGATTCGCGGGAATGCAGCACTCTTGTGGGCAAGACGAACCTGAGTAGCAATACCGATCTGGGCCAGATCAGGGAACTCCAACGATAAGCCGAGGTCACGCATCCTGGTACACAGTCTGTTGAAGGCAAACCGAGGACCCGCCATGAGTTTCTGTTGCATGTTCCCTTCGCACTTCAGAACCGCCGACGACGGAGGATAGAACTGCATCGCGAACCGGAGAACCGAGACGGCAAATATCACGCACGTTCTAATAGACATAGCGAGCCCAATCCGAAGTCTCCGAATCTCAATACAACGCTGATGAAATTTCTGCAGAACGGTGCCCCACGCGCGCTTCCAACCTTCTGGCCCAATCTGGATCCCAAGATATCGAGCATGCCGAACCAACCCAATGGCATCAGCCCCATTCCCAAGACTAGCGAGTAACCTGCGAATCAGTCGAGACGAACGCGGAGAAAGGCTCAGACCACAGTGGATCAGTACACACTTCGTCATGTTCAGAGCAAGCCCAATCCCAGGATGCAGACGCTGGAGTAGCGGGAGAAGGATCGGTATATCAGCGCTCACATCCCGAAGCCCGAACCACAAATCGTCAGCATATGCCAAGATTTGCCGAGGGAGACGACAACAAAGCCAGCGAATGCACGGGTCGAGAGCGGGAGCGAAGAGCAGCATGCTGGACGGGCCCCCTTGGCGAACACCCCGTAGCAGGCGAATCGCTCTGTGACGCTTCCCACCAAAGCAGACGGCCCCCAGGCTATCGGAGCACAGCGACTCGAATAAAAACAACAACTCCAGGGGGAACAGCCATCAGGACCAACACCCGAAGGAGCCAGGAAATCGCAATGCTCGGAAACGCAGCAGCAAAGTCGGTCAGGAACATGCAAGCCAGGTCCCTCCCTGTCATACACTGCAGAACCCCCCAACACTCCGCCTCAAGAATCTGGTCTGTCAGAGACCCCCCTCGAATGCAAGCCTGGACCTTGCGTGCACACTCGCGCGCCTCCTTCTCCAGTTGGGAAGAGAACGCCACATGCATTATCTCACAGTCAGTGTTGGCCATGGCAAGAGGACGACACGCATCAGGAGACCGAGAGGGGCAGGCAATAAGATCCGTCGGATTCCCCCCCCCCTTGGCTAGGAAGACAAGAATAATTTCACGCGTGGAAGGCGACATGTCGCGAGCACGATGGTCAGAGAGATGGCAGTAGAGATCGTGCAGGATGGCAATCGGGATAGGGGACTTCCGGCAAGAATAAACATTCCCATCAGGCCCTGGCATCGAGTCGCGTCGCCCCCTTACCAATTTCTCAAAGTCCTCAAAATCAAGCCGCCACTGAGCGCCAGGAAGGGGGCGGACAAGAGAGATGTGAGCTTCAAGCTCAGGCCAGAGAGAAGTGTCGCAATCGAACTCACCAAAGACCGTTTCCCAGTGCCGAGCCAGCTCCTCCCCCGCCTCCTCAATGGTGCTGCGCGGGGTACCACCAGAGTCCAGGATAGTCCCAAGAGAAATCCGTTTCTGAAGAGGCCTCCAGAGCTCACGACGCCTTTGCAGCCTGGAACGCAGCCGAGCCTTAATCTCCAAATCAGTCTCTCTGCCAGCTTCCTGCTCTAACTCAGTCAGCCGAAGGTTCTGGAGCGACTGGATGTGATCACAAAGCGCAGGAATATTCCGACAGTTGAGAGGGTCGATGACGAAGACGCGGGACAGGTGAGAGTAGCAAGAAATGGCAGAGGAGACTCGCTGTGCATGCCGGGCACGAAGACCCCTCAACGCAGCCAATGAAAAGTGAATCTTCTCATCTGCAGTCCGAGCGACTTGATGGGGGGGGGAAGTAACGAGTCCGCTTGCAGGCCTCAAACATACACCTCTTGACCACGGCAACCTGATCATTAATATGTGCAGTCCGATCCATTTCGCGCAGGAGGGCTTCAAGTTCAACATGAAACAGCGGATGCTTCCCAATCCACGGAGGGATAGAGGGATTCTCAGAAGGCTGGCATTTCCGAAACGTGGCCAGTACAGGAATGTGGTCAGAGACATTCTGCGCAGTCGTGGCTTTGCCAATAACCGAGCACGTGATGGAGAGATCAAAGAGAACAGCAGTAGGAGAGGCAAGATACAGACGGTCGAGTCGGCTCATGTGGCAGGTTTCCCCACTGGCAATCTCATGACGGGTAGGATCTGGCTGGTGGACCTCAGTCCAACGAGGGAAGAAAGAGTGGAACCTATCATGCCTATATCGATCTCCAGGCCTCCACCCCGATCCATCCCCGCACTGGCGGCCATCCTCCTCG